TTCACCGCCGGTGACCGCGCCGCTGCGGCGGGTAGTGGTTTGGCACTGGTGGGTGGCATCCGGTTCGGTGGCGAGGTGGAAGGGCCGGCTGTGGGTGCACCTGATGGTAAAGCCGGCGTCGCATTTTGCGGGGCGGTCGAAGGTGTAGCAGGCGCTCCGGGTGGGCGACTGGGAACTTTCAGCTTGATCTTTCCATTGACAGCTCCAGGCTGCGGTGGGTACTGTGGCAAGTTGTGTGGAGGCGGCAAGTCAGACATGAGGAGCCGAAAGGTGTCCTAAGTAGTAAAATTACGATCAATAGATGTTTGAGCGGCGTTTAGGAGGATATACATACTCTCAGAGTCGAAGCTGCTTCCCAGATGGGCGTGTGGTCTTCATTGAAGGTCATGGCGTTATCGAAGATGAGTTCGACGTCGGTTGCGAACGATGCGGAGTCTTTATATTCCTTGCGTTCTATATGTTTCTGGTACTCGGTGTTCAGCCATTGTGGTCGACGAGCGAGGCGGGTGAACACCAACCTGGACCTTATTGAAGGCGATCGGTTGCTTGATCTGTTTGTAATAGGTACTTCCCCAGACTTTACGGTCTGGCAGTTCCATGAATGGTTCGGAGAGTAAGCGCCCACTGATGAGAGACGTCAGGCAGGACGAGCTGGACTACGGTTGTTAGACATACTCGTCGCCCTTCCTTTCGAGCAGCTTGGTGAGCTTCTTGCGAAGGAGCTTGTGTAGGTTGGGAGGCTTCGACTTCTTCTCGCCATCGTCACCGTCCTCGCCGTCTTCATGTTTCTCTCCGGTCATGGTGCTATACGTGCGCTTTACGAGTTTCTGAATGGGCTTAGTACCTGCCATAGACAGGAATGGGGATGTGACATACATGCAGCACCTTGGCATCTTGGAAGATCTGACTTTCTTTGCTGTTGTAGCGTTTCGCATTGCGAAAGCAAGTCTCGAGGTCCTGTTTGACGTCCTTTAAGGACTCGTATTCGCCGTCGTCGATGCGCTGCTTGATGGTATCGAGGGCGATGGGAGATTTGATGACCTCATAGTAGTCCGGGTACTTGCGCTTTGACGGGAGGTGGTTGAAGTCAAAGGAGAGCGAACGCTGGCTGTTTACGCGAGGTGAGCGTGTGGACGTTGAGACTAAAGAAACGCGGTGGACTTGCTCTTTGGGATCGACCGCGTCCTTCACCGTCTGCCAAAGCTTCTCGCCCTGCTCCTTCACCGCGGACAGCCGGGCCGCCTTTGCGTCCTCGCCCTCCTCGGCGACTTGCGACTTTGTGTCCCCGTTCGTGTCCTCCGCAGGCGTCTCCCGCCGCCGCTTCGTCCGCGGCCCCTCGAGGTCGATCGCCACCTGCGCCAATGTCTCCAACTCCCGCTTCGACATCTTTCGCACGGGTTCGACAATATAGGAAGGCGTAAAGTAGCGAGCAGGTGTTCGACGTTCAAGCCGTTCGCGCGCTCGGCTCAGGCGCCCACTCAACGAATGCCGATCAACAACTCCTCCGGCCCGTCTTCCGAACACGTGCCGAGCCATAAATTCAGCAGTCCCGTTACCGCCGAAACAGGCGCGCGAGCCTGCAAGCACTCCTCTCCTGACCACATTCTACCTCTTTCGTGCTGTCATCGCTGGGCACTGACCAGTGCGTATGTCTATACTCACCCAGATGTACCCAGTCTTACCCACTTATAATATGAACAGCACGATGGACGCGCCGCTCCATTCCGCGGATCACGATGGCTCTACAGCACGACCCGAATCGACTGTCGCGCGTACCCAAGAGGAAGTTGACGCCGAGATCCATAGACTACAGCTGGCCATGAATCAATTGCGTGCCGAACGCAACATGTTCTCCCCCGTCTCGCGCCTGCCTCCCGAGCTCCTGGCTCAGATATTCCTTCGACTCGTCGACCTCACCGCCGGGCCGGACATTCCTCCTATGAAGCGCAACCGCGCTGCCTGGCTCGTCGTCATCCGCGTCTGCAGACAATGGCGATATGCAGCGGTCGACTTCCCGGCGCTCTGGAGCATCCCTGATCTCGGCAGCGTGGCTCGGGCTCGGGAGATGATTCAGCGCTCCAAGGCGAGCTTGCTTACTATCGAAGCATTCACCTCGACGGCCATTCGCTCACCGCTGCGCACGAAAACCAACCCCATCTTCGAATCCCTGAACTATGCTCTCCGCTACATGGATCGTGTCGAGGTGCTCGAGCTCACCCTGGACGGCCATAGTCTGAGGGATACGATCGAGAGGTTACGCTCTTCATCTGCAGCCAACCTTCGGCGGATCGCTATCACTGGCGGCAAAACCCATCATGTTACGAACGCAGGGCACGTAATAAACCGCCAAGTCCCCCTGCCGAAGGATCTGTTGAGGAACAAGGCGCCGAACCTACAGGTCGCGAGGATGTCTCACATTGACATGCGCTGGACAATCGGGGTGTGGGCGAATCTACGGACGCTCGAAGTGCGGGAGGTCTCAGTCCTCGGCCGGCCAGTCATGCAACGCTGGCTGGGCGCGTTGGCTGCCATGAAGAACTTGGAGACGCTTATCCTGCAGAACTGCACACCACGATACGAGGGTGATACGCCGTTCTGCATCGATCCTGAGGGACGGCTCACGACCTACCCGAAACTCAAGACCTTTTGGTTCTTGGCGCCCGCCAACGAGATTGCTTTCACCTTGAGCAACATGTCTCTCCCTGCTCTCGAGCAGCTGTCCGTGAACGCGCTCAGCATGGCTAGCCGAGAGGAGTACAACAACTTCATCAAGGCAGTTGCTCCCCACACGCACAGTTCCGGGCTCGGCACCTTCCATGCTGTATCGCTCACAAGCGGTCGTCTGAACAACCTCATGGGTTTCCAACTCGTTGGCCACTCCAGCACTATCCTTGAGGGCGTGGACGTCACAGCCGCAGAAAACCCATCGAAGTTGCTCGAGAGCAACCGGGATGCCGGCCTGCGCATGACCGTCACTGCGGCACGGCCGTTCGTCATCGATGCTGCCTGTCTCGCCCACGCCCTTAGCGCTCTGCCGTTGACCGAAGCAGAGCTGCTCTCCATCAAGCGGCTCCCGCGCCTTGGCTCATCTGAGCAGACGCTGGCGTCAGCCTTCAAGTCTTGGACGCGTCTGCGCACGCTACAGCTTACCCATGGCGACGCGTGGTCTTGGTTCGCCGGCGCACTGCTGAACAACGCGACGAAGCAGCTGCGATCGGCGGAGGGCGCCGCCATCGCTGCGGCCGCGCCCGCACACGCTAACGTGCTCTACCCTGCCTTACAGCGCCTTGTGATCGACCGTGTGAGTTTGCGCGGCGAGTCGGTCGACGCACTCAGCGACGCACTGCGTAACAGGAGCGCGCTGGGCATCAAGCTTGGCGAGGTGCGCCTACTCCGGGGCGATATCTCGCGCACCCGCGCAGCGGGGCTCGCGACCGTCGTCGACGCAGTTCTCTTACCACCGTCTGTGCTCGAGAGGCATCGTGCTCGCGCAGAACGCGAGGAGGGCAAGGAGGAGGAAGAGGAGAAAGTTGCGAACGATGACGACGATGCCGGCTCTGTCGTTTCCAGCATGCCGTCGCTAGAGACTGTATCGGATACGTCGTCCGAAGTGGAGGAGGACATGTCAGATTGGTCAGAGGATAGTGGGAATGAACTGGACATGGACGAGTGGGCGGAGGATGAGCAAATCCAGGACGACGTGCATGCTCATATGATCAATGTGCCGATCCCTGGAGATGAGGAGATGGAGGCGTTGTTCGATATAGGTCCCATGCCTGCCGCAGGAGGTGGCGCGGGCGGAGGCCAGGCGGCGGGTGGAGGTGTCGGTGCTGGCGGTGCTGCCGCCGCCGCTGCCGCTTTGCCCCCTGGTGCGGTGCAGCAGTTCCTCCAACAACTTCTGGGTCAGGCCCAAGCCGGCGCAGGCGGCGCGATCTTCAACATCGGCCCGCTTCCTGGCGGCGGGCAGCAACCGCCCGATGACTTCGTCCCCGGTCCTGACGACTTCGATCTTTGGTAGACTCAAACTGTATAGAAATGAAATTCGGTTCCAGTGCTGTATCATGTATTATCAAATTGCTTCCTCGTGTACATCGCTGTCGTTTGCACCGTGCTGTCCGAACTATATAAAGTGAATACAAGCACCTCTTCCACAGTCCTCCGAAATCTGAGTTCACTGTGAATGAGCTGCGTCAACGGCCTCCCGCACTGCACGGATGACCGCTTCCTCCGTATGCCAAACATCCCAATCATGACCGCCTCCGGCACCCATACCCAAGCCGTCGTGCCGATGGGACATACCTCCCTCTTTCCAACGCCCACCACTGAGATGAAGCTCTGTTAGCCCATGGGGTAGTAGTCTTGCGAGCACAGAAGCAATGGTCTTCGCGTTAATGCCTGCGCCTGGAAGAATCGTAGGCCCAGTCTTTCTACTGCCGGCCTTGGTCGACGCCTTGAGAAGCTCGACAAGAACGTCGAAATTGGCGGTCACGGAAGTGCCTCCTCCACTGATAATGATGAGTCTATGAACAACCATGTAGAGGAGGATCAGACCTGGTCAGAATGCGGTCTACGCCGATATCGCACAGGGTCTCGTAGGCTGTAATGCACATGAATGGCAGTTCAAAGGCCTCGTGGCTACCACGCACCTTTCCAAGCGGGTCCTTTTATCGTGTCAAAGGCGCGATGAAAGCAGACTGATGGCATGTTCAACGCTCACAGCATCATTATAGATGGAAGGGGCTGCATACCTTGTAATGGGCGAGCCTCCTCGACCAGCCTGGGTTTGAGTTAGACAGCGTCCGTGCTAACGGTACGATGTTACTTGCTCGGCTGTCAACTGCACGTCCACGGATCCTGAGCTTGTGAGCAAACCGATCACCACACCTGCGACTCCGGCCTGCTTGAACGCCCTGATGTCTTCTCGCATGGTCTCTAATTCACCGCTAGAGTACAAGAAGTCTCCCACTCGAGGCCGTACCATCGCCTACAGTGCGCGTGTTGTGTGAGACAGAGCTGTGCGTCTGATATCTTCTCGCAGGCGTACCATAAGAGGGATTGACGGATAGCGTTTGTGTAAAGCATTGACGAGGCCCAGTGAAGGAGTTGTGCCTCCTCCCACAGCCAGGTTGCCGCACACCTCAAGTCGATCTGCCCCGCCTCGGATGGCGCTGGTTGAAAGGGCGGAGAGTGTTATATTCCTGGATACGTCGGCATGGAGACATGAGAGTCACCTATCCGCAGAGTCCAACGAATCAATGCATACTTCGATGGTGATTCTCTTCTGATCCTCTGCCATAACGAAATCTCACTGTGAAGAGTGGTTCAGCGCCGTGGCCGAGATGCCGAATCTCCCAAGCTTAATCTCGGTGTACATATACGGTTCCATCTCGTCAAGGGTGGCAATGCACAGAGCCTGCGAGTGTCCCCCCACATGCTTGTCCGTCCGACGCGGAATTCGGACTTCAGTGGATATCAATGAATGGCGACAACCGTCTGACCAGTTCAATCAATGAACAGCTCGACGCCAGATCTGGCTACAAAGCGCATTTGCTTTGGACACCCTCAATGGCCCGACCTGCATCCGAGTACACCCGAGCAGCGGCTTGCCGCCTCATATCGGTAGCCCATCGCGTCGACACAATCGACGAGAGGGAAAGCTCAAGATAAATCAGATGGTAAACGCCACCAGCTTCATCTGCTCCGAGATGACCCGTACCAGCCCAGCGGAAGAGGGTGGTCGACCGAGAGACGGATTTACTGCGCACTACCGTGACCCTTGACCCGCGCCAGCCAAGACAAAGAAAAGCGCCTGCAGTGCAAGTTGAAGGAGGGGAGGTCTCTCACCTCGCCGATGGTGGTGATTGTATGTTCGCAAGACACCTGCGGCCATCCACATCACGTCACTGTACCAAACACCGGCGGATCCGTCTGTCGATCATCGGGGCTGTCAGGTTGTCGAGATCCTCCAAATGGGCACGCTCCCAGGCACCAGCCAGCTGTGTTCTCAACTTGGTCCCGCTGCTTCGTTCGAGACGTCACTCGCATCTGGCTAGACGATTTCACGCGCACTTGTATGGAGCGGAAGAGAGGCGGGAGACCGTATTGGCTTCTTCGCCGATGTTCGGAACTGGTCTGCGACATCATTCAAAACTGCGAGCTCGGGCAGTCATTACGGCGCTACTGAGGACCTACACAGCGGGACATCCAGAGGTCTGGTACATCTCAAACCTTTTAATGTTGGCACTCGCTGCGTCCGTTCTGTTTCTGTTTCACCATGTCGACACCCCCTCTCTCGATGGCCACGAGCGAAGACCTTCCTTCAACGCCGCGGCGTCGCTGCTCGCCGCGCGAAGTTGGTCGTGTTGTATGGACGCATCTCATCCGCCACACCGGAGTCGGCATCACCCTCGCCGTGGCGTACTTTGACCCAGTACGTGGCATACGCGCGCTCGATACACGGCCTCTGACGCTTGTATGTAGGGAAACTGGAGCGTCGACCTACAAGCAGGCTCGGACTTCGGCTACAAACTACTCTTCATCGTTCTCCTAGCCGGCTTCTTTGCTGTCTTCCTACAGGTGAGCTTCTTTTTTTACGATCAGGGACCCCGATCGCTCACTGCCATCATCCAGAGCCTAGCATGTAAGATGGGCATTGTAACGGGCCTCGGTGAGCGTCATGGCTATGCGCCTACGTGTGGATCACTCATCGGCGTTAGACTTGGCCGCCCATTGTCGACTATTGCTTCACAGCCGCACACAGCGCCCGAAGCTCTTTCGTTGGCTCACACTATACCCTCTCTACGTCTTCTCGGAGATAGCCATCATTGCGACCGATCTGGCGGAGCTTTTGGGATCTGCGATCGCCCTCAACATCCTCTTTCCCAAGCTCCCCTTGTGGGCGGGCGTCTTGCTCACAGCTTCCGACGTATTTCTCATTTTGGCTTTCGGCGACCCACTCCGCAAGCGGCCCGTGAAGGTCTTTGAACTGCTGATTGGTGTCCTGGTAAGCGCCCTCCATATGGCATACCTTACTCTACTTACAGCTACCGTCCAGGTACTCATAACCCTGGTGTGCATGTGTATCATCATCTCAAGGGTCAACGTAGAGTGGGGTCAAGCCTTCCTGGGATACGTCCCATCCAAGACCATCTTCCAATCGGGAGGCTTGTATACATGTGAGCAAGCTTCATGCTATCGTTTCACCACACGACAGAGTGCTTACTGCCTCCGATAGCCGTGGGCATTCTCGGTGCCACTGTCATGCCACATAGTATCTTCCTAGGGTCGGCGCTTGCTACTCAGGATCGAGTATCTACTACAGCCGTGCCATTCGAGGATAAGGATGAGAAGTTGTCACGACGGATGACCGGCGAATCGGTTTATGAGAACGAGTCTGCTTTGGATACCGTGATCGACAGGAGAAGTCCTTGGAGGCGTTGGTTCATAGCCTTCTTCGGCTACAAGGCGTCCTCCTCTACGGAGCCTCAGAGACACTCGGAATGGGAGAACAACACCCTTGACTTTATCCGAGCGCATCTCCGGCATGCCATTGTCAACATCATCACCAGCCTACTGGGTATAGCCGTCGTGATCAACTCGCTGTACGTCTTATCGCACGTTGGCCGAAAATGAGACTGACGAAGTCTCCGTCCAGTATTCTCATCCTTGCCTCAGCTGTCTTCCGCGACAGCGCGGAAGCTACAAGCAGCCTCTTCGACGCTGCTGATCTCATCGGCTCGACGCTGGGACATGGTTAGTCTTTCTGTCCTGTGAGTGGACTAGATCTGACGTCTCCTGTGTAGGCCTCGAGATCGTCTTTGCGCTTGCTCTTCTGGCTGCAGGACAAAGCGCGTCGCTGGTCGCCACGGTAGCCGGGCAGATCGTGTCTGAAGGCTTCTTGCGATGGAAAGTATCTGTGAGTGCCGCGTGGCTGTCTATCTGATTGTGATACTGATGCTTCGTAGCCTATATTTCGTCGCTTCCTGACTCGCCTCCTCGGTCTCATACCATCCATGGTCGTCGCCATAGCGGCTGGGCGCAACGGAATTGATACCATGCTCGTCGCGTCGCAGGTCGCACTCTCACTAGTGCTGCCCTTCATCATCTTCCCGCTAATCCTCATCACGTCGACGAAGTCCATGATGCGCGTACGCGTACCGGCCAGTCCACGGGGGAGGTCCGGCATCGTTTCAACTGGGCAAGAGTCCAACAGGGACCTATCGTTGTCACCCACGCCCACACTGTCCGACGCCAGTGACCCTGAAGGCAACGGAGACTCGTTCGTCGAGTACAGCAACAGCTGGCTAACCGTCGGCATTGCACTCGCCATCTGGGGAATCATCGTCGCCGCCAATTGCTATGTTATCGTCAGTTTAATCTTGGGCAACGAGGGCTGAGCAGTGCGGGGTGGGTCGATGGACTATCTCATATCTTTTTGGATGCTTTCTATTCGCTGTCTATTTCTAACCTGTCGCACATATACACCGCTGTCCGTTTGCACCTGCATCTCCTGTATATCACACACATACCGCCTGTACTATTACAATGTACACTACCCGTATTGCACACCATGCAGGAACAACCCAACTAGATCTTCTTTTGGAGCGGATTGATGACCACGCCCATCTTCTTCGTGACCTTGGGTAACGTCGCACGCTGGAACGCGACGCGCGTGTTCCACTCAGTGCCGACCGGCGTTGCGAGACTCCGCTCATACTGAGCTTGGCTGGTGTACGGATACGGGAGGTCCTTCACGAGGTACTTCGCCGCCTTCTTATCTCTCTTCTCGGAGATGATGACGTGGCTCTTCCCGTAGTCCGCGCGCGACTTGGGGTCGACGCCGGCGACCTTCTTGATGAGGTGAGGCTTGGGTGCAGCCTTGCGCGTACCAGAGCCGCCCCATGAGCCCTGTACAGTGTATGAGTAAACTGGCAGCGACAAGGACAATAGAGGACTACTGACCCAACCCGGTAATGTGGTGTCGATCTCCTTGGGCGCATCGGCTTCGACCTCTCTCCTCTTCGCCTCCTCGAACTCCTACAAAAGAAGATCAGCAAGCCGATCAACAGCTGAGTGGACATGGTTTCTGTACCTGCACAACGTTGTCGCCGGCGAAGGCCATGGCTACCAGATCCCGCTGCTTGAACGCCATGGCATTCTGTTTGGTGCCCTTACGCTCAAGCTGAAGCTCCTGCACCTCAACCTCACTATCCGACTCGGACGAGTCACCAGCGCCGGGAGTAGCAGCAACGTCTTCCACGGGTGGCGTTTTGTCCTTGCCCTTACTCGCCTTCCTGGTCTTGGCGTTCGTGGAGGAGGCGACGGCCGGCTGCGCTGCAGACAAGACCAGCGCTTGGTCAGGCTCGATCTCAAGTTCGGCGTCTTCGGCAGCGGCCTCGCGCTCCTCTGCCCGACGGAGCTGCTGCTTCGACAGCTTATCCTTGAACTTGTCTGCGGATTTGCTGTTCTTTCCCACGGCGACTTCGGCGCGTTTTGGCCCACTGTTCCGACTGCTGGCCACAAGCCACGGATTGACTGAAGAGGTGGAGTCTGGGTGAAGCGGAACGAGCGATGTTGAGGGTGAGACGACGGGGAGGTCTGCGGTCTTGAGCGTTGTACTTGAGGTGTCAGAGGGCGCTGGGATTGAGATGCCGGATACTTCTTGTGCAGCACTCTGGACGAACTCATTAGACGGCAAACATTCAGGCGAAACGAAATCACATACCTGAGGACCGGGACGGAAAGACATGCGACCGCCTATACGTTCGAACATGTTCGACGAATGCTCCTCAACACCACCTTCCCCATCCTCATCTGAGCCACCTTCGAGCGCACCGATCTCGCGCGCAAAGTCATCCGCCTGGCGCTCAACTTCCCGCTGTTCCCGAGCAGCCGCGTCTCGCATGAACTTCATGTCAAACACGCTCTTCCCCTTCTTCCCACCACCGAGGTCGCCTGTCTCCTCGTCTCCTTTCAACGCTTCCAGCTCGTCGAATGCGCGTGCTCTCAGAGCGTCGGGATCTGCCTCGTCATCACTACTCTCCTCTTCGCTCGCATCGCTGTCCTTCCGCCCCTCGATCCGTCTTCTGAGCTTCTCGCTACGATCAAGCATGTCATGGATATCTTGCCGCTGGTCGGCGTCGAGCTCTCCACGCCCCTGCATCGCCTTCGCCCATTTGCCCGTATTCTTGTGCCGCAACGTAGCCCTCTCCTTCGCCCTCGCCGTCTCAAGCTTCAACAACGCATCCTCATCATCCGAGTCGACACCATCGGCAGCAAGACGCTCGCGCTCTTTCTTCTTCAGGCGGCGGAACGTCTTGCTCTTGATCTTCGCCATGCGCTTGGCTTTGACCTCGGCCCGGAATGTCAGTTCGCGCATCTTGCGCACTTCTGCGCGACGTGCGGCAACTTCCTCGACTGAGAGGTGGTTCATCTTGAGCTCTTCTGTATGTGCCAGGTCTTCTTCGCGCATTTGAGCCTTCTTGAGGAGCTTGTCTACAGATGTTTCGAGTTCTGTCGTAGGCTAGAGATACATCAGCAAGAGCGTGTTGACATATGTGAGTGGAATTCACACCTGAAACTTTGACGCAAGCGCAAGATTTGACGTGTTTTCCTTGGGCTTTGCTTGCAAAGGAAACGCAAGATGCTCCGCCTAGAAGCAGACATGAGTAAAGTCCGACAAGCTGGCTTCGTAAAGACATACCTCACGGATTTGCTTCATCGTGTCGTTCCATTTGTCGACCTCGGCCTTTGTCTGCTCGTAAGCAGCCTCGCGGTCCAGACGCTCTTGTGCACGAGTGGCCAAGGGTGCGGAAAGCTTCTTCCCAGTGCGATTAGACGTCAGAGTCTTTGCTGACTTCTTGAGGGCGAGAACAGAGTCAGAAGCAGATGTCAAAGGAGCGAGAAGGTCGTCAAGCTGAAGTTTCGAAGATCCTACGGCGCATGAGCACAGATGGTGAAGATAGAGTGTGAGTGAAAGCCCTACCTGCTCTCGTAGCAAACTCATTCTCCGGCCCAGCCTGTGTTCGTTCGGCAAGAATCCTGCGTTTCCGCCTGGTTGCATCTTCGTTCCCGGCATCGTCTGCTTTGCGCTTCTTTCCCGCGTCGAGGGAGGTGACGAACCTGGCGAGGCCCTCCACGGCATCCTCGTCCACGCTCCCCTCGTCCGCAGACATCGCGACGTCCTCCTCTTCCACATCTTCCTCCTCTTCCTCCTCGCTTCCATCTTCCTCCTCGTCTCTCGCGTGAGGCTCCTCTCTCTTCTGCTCGGTCTTCTCCGTCTCTTCCAACGCCTCCACCCCTCTTCCGTCCAACATGTCGAGAACGTCAAAGAACTCGCCCTCCTCGTCCTCCTCATCCTCGTCTGCCTGACCAGCCTCTGCACTATCCAGCCCACTCTCCTCATCCTCATCCAAGTTCACATCAGGTAGTCGCGCCTTGGCCTTCCCCGACATAGATTTACCGGCCTGTGGTTTCTTTTCATCGCGTTAGCCAGAGTATATAGGCTGTATATAGTATCAAAGCACACCTTCTTGCCGAAAGAGAAACCAGCATACTGCTCCTCATCGCCCGACTCAAACGCGGCATCAGAGTCCAACTCCTCGTCGTCCTCCGAGTCGATCATCTCATCGTCGACGTTCTCTCCTATCAGGCGCGCACGGAGCGCGTCGCGGTCGAAGCCCTCGTCGTCGGAGCCCGCAAAGCCGCGGTCCGCCTCCTCGTCGCGGTCGAGATCAAGCCTGACTTTGTCTCGCCGCACGCGCTGTTGCTGGTGCTCGTAGACGTCCGAGAGCGCGCCGGCTTTGGCCTTGCCCGCGTGCCGCTTCGCGTACCCGACCGCGTTCGCTTTTCGTGCAGATGGAAATGATTTCACGGGTCGCCCGTTCGTATTGCGCGCCATACTGGCAGATGTCGGGCCTAAGCTAGAGGGAAACCCCGGGGGAGATAGCCGGAAGCAAGGCGTGCTGCTGCTTCGCGGTGCGCGGCGCGCGCAAATCTTTGGAAAGTAACGTGACTGCATACAGCCATCTCCGGCGCTTCACTGGCTCTTCGCCTTCTGGATGCACGTACGAAATGCTTACATCAGTGTATTGGCGTGTGTAGGTCTAATGCTAACGCTAGTGTAGACATATTGGTGTACTTAGATTCGAGATGCGTTATCTGCTTGGCCGGCAAGCTGGGCGCGTGCTGGTAGTACACCGCGTATTGAGTAAAACAAGTCTCGAACACGAACGCGCTCGAGCATCCCTGTAACAGGATGCTCCGACGGTGAACTTGGTCAAAGTGTCTAATTATCCGTCCGACTGTCCACTTCCGTATGCTTCATGTATCGTATTGTTGTCTTCTGGGGAACCCAGGCAAAGTCAGCTCGGTGACGGCAAGGTTCGCTTGTCCATGGGATGAATTGTCGAGCACGTACGCGTGCCTGGTAGTGGCAGAGCAGAGCGTAGTGAACGTTCGCCTATTTCACTTTGGAGGGCTTGTTTGTACCTGATCTCGCAACAAGTCCAGTACGGGGGACGTCGCACGGCCTGGTGGGTAGACGCCTCAGCTTTCGCGCGCTCAAGCATCTTCGCGACTGGCAGCTTGAAACGCGGATTCCATTGCAGACCCAGTTGTGCAGTAGAATGGAATAGAGGCTGACGTGAACCGATGAGCCCGATGCGTCAGGCGAGTGTATCGTACAATGGAACGGGCATGGATTGCATGACTGCATGAATACATGAATAAACTGCGCGGACCCATCGCTCGTGCCCCGATGGCCGCCGGCACCCGACTGAAGGAAGGGCGAGTAGACTACTTCAACTTCTTCTTCCTATAAAAACCGTGAGTATTCGCACCACAGATAGTGCGGCCCGGACGTACGGGCGGAGCTGGGAGCTGTGGCCACATGACCGCTTGCGGCAGTTGGTGGCGCGGGGAGGGAGGCGGGCGTAGCACTTGCGGCAGATCTGCTTGTCGCAGTTGTACTTGGACGCAAGCACCTTGAGCGACGGCTCGATGATCCCGCCACGGAGACTAGAACGAGATTAGAACACTCGCTCACAAAACGTGGCAAAAGATATACACACCGGAGGACGAGGTGAAGGGTGGACTCCTTCTGGATGTTGTAGTCGCTCAGGGTGCGGCCATCCTCAAGCTGCTTGCCGGCAAAGATCAGGCGCTGCTGGTCCGGGGGGATGCTGGTTCGTGCGTCAATACGGAGCAAATTCCGAAGAAAACAGAGCACGCACCCCTCCTTGTCCTGGATCTTGGCCTTGACGTTGTCGATGGTGTCGGACGACTCCACCTCGAGGGTGATCGTCTTGCCCGTGAGGGTCTTGACGAAAATCTGCATGGCAATATATGAGGCTACGACGGCCAGAAAGACGGCGAACAATGACGACGGACCTGCATTTTGGCGACGGTGGGGTGAACGAGCACGGCGTCGCGGGCGCGCAGAGCCTCCTCGCTTACGTGATGACCCCGGCTGTTTCCGCTTGGCCGCACAGCGCGTGACTTGCCGAGAGCTCGTGGGAGAGCTGTACAGTTCCTCCTCCTTGCGCTGGCGCGTCGTCGCTGTCGCTCGCGCTTCTTTCCCTTTGGAGTCTCGATTTGTAAAGGTGATTGTCGGTTCGGTTCCTCTTCAACTTGATGAGACAAACTCGTAACTCAGCTCACTTCGATGCACATCGTGCGCATGAGACGAACGCGAATATAATTCTGACTTGCTCGACTTGCTTCCACGTTTTTCAGCGTACTGACTCCGTACTCCAGTTTTCAGAATATAAACTGTACCTTCAAGTGTCACAACACCGCCTAGTTGATACCGTCAGTCTCCGTCTTCCTTGTCTCGCTCTGTGATGCACAACATCTGCAAATAATCGACGTGCTTCGGCACATTGGGTTCACATCCTTCGGGATCCATTCAAGTCACTGAACTCGGTCATCACATGCGCCATGCATTTCTTCAACGTACTGACTTTCCATCCTCCAGGCTCCGGAATTGTTGTGAGAATGTACTGGCATATTTTGTAGTCAGGGTACCTCCTGTATGCAGTTGTATGTATCATGAGTCGCTTGCGAATATAAACGTGATCTCAAGAGAGCAGTGGACGAGCATTGCGGAGAAAGGCAGTCAATGGGAATCATAGAGCGTGACGCGAACAGAGAACTGCACGTCGAACGGGCATGCCTTACAAACAATGCATACCTCTGCGCCTTCTAGGCAGTATCTTCAGTGGCTTGTATCTCCTTGATATCAGTGTTCACTTTCGTCTCTGGATCTCCGGATTTGGTATCTCCCACGAAGATCGTATCCTCGTCCTGATACGAGGTTTCGTGTATGTGATATACCACGACCCCTGCGAGAGGCAGGGACACCAGCGTCATGATCCAGCAAGCGAGCTACGCAAGAAGGAATCAGCATTCATTAGGGAATTGTATGCCCTTCGAGACGCACCAGCTCGTTGAGGAATGGCGTCGCCACTGCATCCATCCCGAAGGAGCCGGCGCTCCCAGCGGATTGGATGGCCTTGAAGAAACCAGCGTAGCGTGCGAGCTTGAAGGGGTCGTTGGTGATAGCACCGATGATCCAATACGCCAGTGCTTGATACGCAGCATCACTGATGTAGTAGAAGAAATAGAGAGCCCCTTTCGGTGCGTAGCCATCGCCGCGGTAAGACATCTTGCCAATCTGGCTCGCACGCGTGAACGTAACCTGCCAGGCGAGAGCGCAAGACCAAACGGCCATAACGCAGATGGTGACGAAGGCGAGACCGAGCCAGCCGCGTGTGCGTCTCCTGAGGAGCGGCGCGTCGAGTATACCAAACCCAACGATGAGCGCACCGACTATCGCGCCTGCGCCCTCAAGTGTGGCGTTGACCGCACGAGTGGAGCCTTCGAAGTAAAAGGCATTGACGGCGCCTTGGTACGCGTACGCGTAGTTTGATACGAAGAACATCGGCGAGAGTGCCAGCATTCTCCAGTCCATAAAGAGCCTGATGAGAGAACGCAGCTCTTCTCGTGGCGAAGACGCGGTCTGCACCTTTACGAGTGATCCGTCCGCGCGGATGATGGACGCAGGCGGAAGAAGAAGGGTCGCCGATCCTGCACCGATGAACACGATGACGAGGAACGCTAAATACGTCCCAGTGGACACGGAGGATATTCCACCGTGCCGAATGTTGATGGCGAGTGCGATTACTGCGCCGATGAACGACCCGAACTGAAATATGGCCCAAAATATGCCGAAGGCTTTGCCTGGACCGCAGATAAGTATCACAGAGCGCCGAATCTGGCTACATGAGAAACTTGCCTTTATCCTTCTCCAACGGGTAGGACATCATGATAGCTCCCTGTGCTGACCAGAGCAATGCCGCCGAGATACCGAGGATGGCGCCAGAGAAAATGACAAACCACCGAGTGCCTTGTGTTTGGAAGCACCATAATGAACCGATGTAGAGCGCGTAACCGAGAGAGCCCAGGAAGAGCGTGAGACGAACGCCCAACACTGTTGGTCAAAGTATCAATTAACACGTACAAGAGACGCCACGACGCCACAAGCCCGACCAATAGGGGTTAGGGATGTTGAGTAAACGTGTGGAATCTCAGGCACTGAAGGCCCAATACGATGAAATGGCGACTTACAGTTCGTCACTCCTCCTGAAAAGAGACCCATGATAGCAAAGCAGCCGTATAGGACACCATTGGCCGTATCAGCAAGGGAGACATCCTCGGTCCCACCGGCGCCGAGATTCGTTACAGCTACGAACATGCCAGACGTGCAAAAGCATGTACAGCCTGTATATGAACGTCAATGCTTTGTTTTCGCACTTAATCAAGGTTGGCCAGATCATCACTTGCCTACCAGAGCCACCTGAGTGAGCGGAGACCGGTACCAGCCAGGAATAGACAAGTGCATGTTCAGGAGGGAGTCCTCTGGGGCAAAGACGAGCTGTCAGAGCGGCGACTTATGTGCTGTATGTAGGCAGCAGGTTATGTACTTGAGCTCGCCGCAACTGCTCAGTTACAGCGTGTCGATCAGGCCGGCGGCCTCAAGTGAAGCAGAAACCCTATCTGGCACGGAGAATCTCGCTCTCACTACTAGTACAAATGGTACTTTTGGTTGCCTGAGCGTCATGATGGTAGATGGCAAGAGCCACAGGATGTGCGAGCGGCGTGTAACGACGATGGATGGTTAGTCCGGCCGAGATGACCTCCCCTAGAATGCAGGGCAAACAAAGAACCCCGTGAGGCCATCCGGCTCTGTATGCCCCGTCTCGTACTCTGCCTGCATATTAAAGCCGTTGACCCTCGTGGGCGTCTGCTTACAATTTGCGGCACGCACGGTCTTTGAGGCCGGTAACGCCGGCCGGAATCCGGATCGGGCAGAAAGCCGCACCCGCGTTTGAGCCGCTCATGCTCGGACACAGCGGCGACTGCTGTCCGTCTCCTCAGCGACTCAGCGCGCGCTCACCGTCAGCGCGCTTGATCACAGCCACGACCTTCACGACCTGTCTTTACGATCATGAGCAACGACTTTCACCTCGTAGACGTGGCTGGCTGGGAATATGATCTGCAATCGGTGCGGGACACGTCCTATTCACGGCTGCGCGCGGGACTGAACATGCTTCCGGCATTATGCATTAGGTGTATACGGCCTACATGGGCTATTTCCAGCTGCATGGGATTCCTTGGTACGAATGACTTGCATACTCGTGACGCGTGTGCACCGATGCTAGCCTGGTAACCAGGTATGAGCGCTCATGGGGCCACCTCTTCTCGACACTCGACGAATTCCTGTCCTTCTCATGGCCAATCATCACTGTAACGGACGTCAAGACTGGTCGCGCGCATATTGTGACGCGCATGTCGTCTATCAGCGCATTTGTGAAGATGATTAAAACACGGTGAGAGTTACCCAACCTTTTTCTTACCCCATGTGATGCTCATAGGCGTAGGTTCGGCGACACACTCCCCATGGCGGAGCACGTACTCAGAGTCACGCCTTTCGAGACACAGCAGCGTCACCTGCGCACAATTTCGGACTATGCGACGTACCAGAAGCTATATCAGACACTGCCCGCGGTAGCGCTTGGCGCTCTGAAAGCTCGGATCCGCAGCGGCGATCCCACTTCGGTTTTTGATCTGTGGCACCAAAGGTCGAAGACGTTTATTGCCATCGACTTCGAGTGCCACGAACGGAATCCTGCAACCATCCTGGAGTGGGGCTATGCGGCCGTGCGATGTAGTCACCTGGATGCGTATGTGACCTCTCGGGGATAGTATGTCTACAGCTGAACTCTCGCAGCATAGGCTCGTGGCCTCCCAACCCCGAGGATAACTATCGGTAAGACTCCCGTGCATGGGTGGACGGAACATTCTCACCAGATGCGCACCAGCAAGGGACACTATATAGTCAGCGAGTTCATCGACAAGGTACAAAATCGCCATACACCGACCTACCCATGGCAGGTATGTGTCTCAATCTTGTGAGCTCACAACCTTCGCTGACACAAGGGTCAACTAGTACGCGGTATGTCTCGCCGTTTATACCAACGGCCAAGTACTGTCTTTGATGCGAACATTAGTTCGGCGAGAGTGCCGTTGTTAACCGCAACAAGCAGCTCCCGCAGATCGTGCAGGCAACCATAGCGTCTGTCATGTTACCTTCTCTTGCGCCGTTGTCTGACCATTCGTCGTAGGAGCCTTGCGAGCCCAGATGCCGAGACATCCAACGAACTGGTGCTGATCACTCACAATATGGCCGAGGATCTTAAGCGCATGGACGAGCTCAAGATTAGTCAGTCTATCCTCATTGGCCTCGATGAGACGACTTTCTCACCTCCTTACAGAGGTGCCACATAATGTGCTCATCGTCGACCTTATCTCCCTGGAGAACTCTATGTTTCGCGCGGGTCTTCGTGGTGCCCAGGTTGATGCCCGGAACGGCCAGCCACGACAGCCTGGATCCACACTCTCGCTACGCAGCATACTGCACTCATTATCTGTCAATCTCGACTACCCGTTGCACAACTCTGGCAACGACGCGTTTGCCTGCCTACTTGCCTTCCAATTGCTTATCGACCCAAAGAATACGCGCATACCTATGACCCCGAAACCAGCGCGCCCAGCAATGAATCGCTCTTCGAGCTACAACATGTTCGGCCCTATGCCTGTTTCGCCCCTGCTCATGCCATCTATGAGCGGGCCTCTCATGCCTCCAGTTATGCCCGCAGCCGTATCCATGCGCTCACATTCCACCTCCCCGCACCACCTGGGTCCTACAACATCCAATGGACGTCCGGTCTCGATGGGCCCGGGCGCCTTTCCGTTCCCTTCGAACACAACACACGGTCGCCATCGGACATCCAGCAACACCAATGGAAATCTTGGAGTTGCCACGGATGAGTTCGGGCAACGCATCCGTACCACTTCTCTACTCTCACCGGACGACCTCGCTAAAGAGGTCGACAAGCGCGTCAATCTCAAGTAGATATACCTGTTTCCCTGGATTCCAGTCATGACTCTTGGACTCTTCTCGCACGCTTCATACACTCTCGACATGCTTTGACTTTCTGACGCTTCGGACGTTCAAACTGTACTCTCAATCCATCCGCTTGTTCTGTCCATAATGATACCTGTAATTCCTAAACCTGATGCACGAGCCGCATACAATGACACGGACTTTTTACACGACAAGATAGTTCTGAGCAACCACCGAGGCATCCTCTGAGTACACTACGTCCTCGCCTGAGTCTACGCGTGTGATACCAGCAAGGCGCACACCCGCGATGGAGCCCTGACCAATGAAGCTGACCCGCACCGGGAAGAACATACCCACATCGTCGCCGTCGATCGTAAATTCAAGAGTACCAGAACGGTCTTCAGGCGTGATGAGCGCGATTTGCCAGTCCAGGGAATGACTTGAGGGGTTGAGTTGCCACTCGCCTGTATGCGAGTTGACAGTCGGGTAGGAGCCGGCCCTACAGTATTATTGTGATTAGACATGGAGTTGTATGGCAGAGAAGATGGCTGCATACGGGAGAGGGATAGAGATGACCACGTCATAGAGGTTGACGCCCTCGTTCTCCAGCTCGTACTCGATATTGACATCACATGTTCCAGCATTTGATGGAGTCGGCCAGCAGTTGACTGGTTCATATATATCAGCACGCGACCCACAACATGAAGCGCTACATACTAGTCAAGGGAACGTAGCTCTCATCCCTGCCAGCGTAGCGCCACTTGAGGACACCCAGAGACTGGTTAAGAGGGAAGTCGCGCGATGGATCCTTGAGGGCAACAACTCTGTCCTTGTTCGCAGCAAATTTCGCGACATTTGGATGTTGCTTGTACTGTAATTCGGAGCCAAAGTCGACGGAAGGTGGTGCTAGGCTGAGCTTGACCTTAGTGAACGCCGAGTCGGTGATGTTGAGGTTCATGTCGCCCTTGAGTTCCATAGACTCGACGCCACCTTCGCGGTCGAGGGTGAGAGAGAGCGTCTCTTTGATAAGGACGTGGACGCTATTCGGTTCATCAGCCCGGCCTTCCCGGTATTCAGATGGATCTACTCACGCTTCGGGTGTGACAGGTGGCAAGTTTCCACGAGCATCCTTCTGAGCAAGCGTGGGAGTGGTGGTCTGGACAGGCGCCGGTGTTGGAGGTGCAGACATCTCTTCCGAAAGCAAAGGCTCGCTTCCCAACGCGTCCAGTAACTCGGCCTGCTTTGTCTTTTTGCTACCGAGCTTCATGCCGCTACCCTTGAACGCGGGCGTGCGAACAGAGGTCGGTGCTGGCGACGCATTTCGTGCGGGAACGGGCGAAGGTGCTTCGAAGCGCGAAACTGGAGAGTATCCGGTGGGACCACCGCCAAAACCGCCTGAATGGCCGCCACCGAGGCCCTGCTGTGCGCGCTTCTGTTGCTCGCGGCGCTGCATCTCGAGCTGCTTTGCGCGACGCTTGAGCTCCTCCTTAGCTTCTGCCTCCTTGTTCTATAATGCGGCCTTAAGCACCGAGCATGCACACGTATGTATAGAAAGTACGCACGCGCGCGATGATCTCCTGGATCTTCTCCTCGTGCGACTCCATCGCAAGCACGCTCTGCACCTGCATCAAGTTGACCGGCTCCCTGAAGCCCAAGCTGACGATCTCGTCGAACGCGCCAAGCAACTCGAAGGACATCTTGAGAATCTCGCGCTGGTCGGCACTTCGGCACATATCAGAGACGACGCGGGCGAACAAGTGCAGTGTCTCTATATCTTGCAAGATATTCGAGGCTTTGTTGGTGATCAGGACGATATACAGATCCTCCAGCGGCTGGTAGACATAGCGGACGTCCGGCGTCTCGACGGAAGTATGTTGCGTGTTCGTCGGGATGAGTTTGGGGAACGACGCAAGTAAAGATTCGATGCGCGTGCGAGTCATCTCGCGAAACTGGCGCGAGATGACGGCTGGGCGGGTTTATCAGTATCGGTGGGCGCTGGATAAGGTATGGGGGACGCGTACCTTTGCCGCCCTTGGTGCAGATCGACGCGGCGAGGACAACCTACGCGAACATTAGTGTGCCGTACTACGCGTCAACTCGAGCGTTTGCACCATTATAACTACGCTCTACGATGATACAGTAAAAGCCAGGCAGAAAAGAGTCCGATAGTGGTTATTCGAGGAGATGGTCGGGAGGAACCCTAAAGCCGCGTACACCTTGACCGTTGAACGTGTCAAGTGAAGTCCCACGCACCTTGAACCTCTACCACCATTACCCAAATTTCTGTCCTCTTCGAACGAGCATCATGTCTATCTCAAGTGATCTGAGTCACATGGGTAGTATGCTCTGTGTCTATATTATGTGATAGCGATGTTGTACATGATTCTCGAGTGCTCTCAAACGTGCATGTCATCGTATGGTAGTCCGCGACTCTGCCAAAGAGTGTGGCAATATAACGACCGCGCCTCCTCCGTGTCCTCGATCTCCTTTTCAAAGTGCTCTGGCCCACGCTCTGTGATGGATTGCCTCTGTGATGTCGTTATGAGACATGCGCTACTCGAGCAATGGGGACGGTACTTACCAAACCGAGGGACACCTTGATGGCGTATGGCGGGGGGGTGTACGTCTGCAACTCTGCAGTATCGCCTTTTTCGATAATGGAAAGAATGTTGTTGGCAGCGACTTCTCCCTGCACCCACGCTGTATGACCTGCATTAAGTGCGCCGAACGCGTCTGCCAAGTCGCCGGCGA